GATCAAATATATAAGCTTTCAATTGCTCAAATTTATACCATTTCAAGTGATCAACGTTAATTTTAAATGTAGGAAATGACATTGCCATAACATATTTAATATACATAGAAGCAATCTAAAGATAGTTATTCTATTTTAGTTGTTATTATATTGTAGTCAGCACTACAATTTAGCACTAAACATACCCTTCATGGGTCTTGGATTTGTTTCATTAATAAATAATTGTTTTTTAAGTAGGAACATACTTAGATTTGGATTTCTGAGTCTAAATATAGGTTTGCTCAAGATTTTTTTATTCATAGTACTGAATCAAATACTGTGTGTGAAATTACTAAGCCTTGTTACCATAAAACTTTAAATAATTTTTGGCTTAGTTATAATATTATCAAACATGTTTTTAAGATACTTTACTTAGAAATACAAAGATATCCCATAAAGTTTTGTGTGTTTTATGTAAGTTTTTTTATTATTTTCCTTAACTTTACTATAATTAAATTGTTACGCAATATTATTGTGTCAGTACAGTGACCTACCATATCTCCCTATTTACAATTTTAACAGATAACTATTGTATTACAGCCATCAGCGGTAGTTGTCAAGAATGAGGAAGAAAATGACCAATTATTGAAATGTTAAGAAGAGATTAAACCGAGACCACAAATCTATTTTAAAAATTGTATTACCGTGTTTAAGATAATTGTGTACTTCATAATAATTTTTTTGTATCTAATAATATTGTTATATTAATAAAATGATATATTAAATCTACCATTATTTAATGACTGCCTACAGAAAACGTAGTAACCGAAATGAAAAATATATAAGCCATGTTACTTTATAGGTTAATAAAAGAACAATATAATAACTTACACATTTAATTTAATGATTATAGTAAACTTTTAACACACTACAAAATAACTTTCAGTTATACAAACTCAAACTTAAGTATAATAAAAACTAATTCAAACCCAGCCTCACATAGAGCTAATCAATAACATCTACTTTATTTTGTAGACAAATATATTTATTTTAATATTATATTTTCTAATTAGTTTGTAAAAAGTAATAGTTATGAACTATAAATTTAAAAAAGCTTAAGTACTTAAACCATCATGTATGTAATGATGGTATTTCATACTTGTGTAAAGCAGAATAATGTTTTTATCCAAAACCTTAATGTTATATCAATATTTATAAAAATATAGGAACCAAAATTGTACTGTGTTATCATTTATTATAAATTGAAGGATAGTCGAAATTCAATCATTTGAAAATGTCTGCACTATTGTGTCTTTCTATATCCAGGGGCCTTGTCTTCTTCAAAGGCAGAATGTAATTTTTCTATCAGGAATTTTGAACATTTGGATCTCTGAAATTATTAGATTTATAATTTTAGTATAGTAGAAAAATACAAATATTTTACAAAATTTACCTATCTTAACTTATTTATCGTTTTCTGTTCGACTTATCTCTGCTGGAGACAAGACATGATCAAGACTGCATCGAAAAATTGGTTCTAGGATAAAAATGATATTTTTAATGCTAAAATAATCAAAATGTTTACCTTAGAATATCTATTTACTAGTCTCTTCGTTCATCTCAGCAGCATATGTTCAAGGTTTCGTCAATACCATATAATTTCTTGGGTATTGGAAAAAAGCGATAGTAACCAACGCCGAGAAACCAATTGGTCGTTTCGTGCCTACAATTTCTTCGCCATCTATAGATATTATATGAAGTATTTTTAATGGTTTACATCATTTATTTCATGAAATAGAGGTTTAAGCTTTTAAAGTGGAAACGGGCCTTCTGTAACAATAACAAAGTTCTATTTCACGAAGCCTAATGCTTATATATATAATTTTTTTCGTAAAATATAGCTGCATTGATAAATATTCAATTCAATTTCAAAAATTCTTTATTTTGTTTCACAAAAATTTATAGTGCTACATATCCAGTGTACATTATTTATAATCAATCAACATACATATAGATTGTCCTATGTTAGAATATTTTCACATAAAACAAGTTTTAACTTCGCTAAAAATTGCTACCTCACTGGTAAATCACGATTTCAGCGAGGGAAGAGCAACTTTTAATTTGACGTAAAGAATCTACATTTAAATGAGATGAGATGTCAAATGGTATGTATCAGAATACCAAATATCAACAATTTTGGAGCGTAAGTGTAGCAGTGCCAAATTTTAGTTCCAAATGTGAACAATCTCATTTAGTGGCGCTTTTGTCGCGGTTATTGTTTATCAGAATACCAAATTGTAACATGACACCGAAACGAACGATTTGACAGCAAAAATCAGCGCTGAGAGTGTGTGAAGCGAGTTACAGAATCGCAGGGCTGATCGGTAATAAAGTGATAAATTGACTGTCTATGATCAAAAATCCGTTATCGTTTTAAAGTGAAAGTGCCGTCAACAAGTGATTCATTATTCGAACAAAGTCATTGATTATTTAATTGTAAATAATTATTTGCATGCAATCAAAAACTATTTTTAATAATGCCAAAGAAGTATAACTTCTTACGCGCGTACATAAGTACACGCACCCTTTTTTTTAAACCTATGTGCCTGAATCATGTCAGTTTCTTCAATAAATTTTCTTCACCGTACGAGTTTAATTGCGATCATTAATATTTATTGGTACAAAGTCGGGGTTCAAACACAGGATTTCAAGGATCAAGCAAGTAATTACGTAGCACTGATCAGTCATGTGATCTATTTAAAAAAATCTAAATTTGGCTTTAGTATACATTGAAAACCTTTATCTTAGCCTATAATCACATAAAAGCTGTAAGTTTATATTGATTTATTCTACACGCATTAATTTTGGTGTCGCACTCAACTCGCTGGCTGCGGTGTATGAAACGACACGAAACGTGTTAACACTTGCAAATATTAATATATTAATAATCATTTTAATATAGCAGACAAAACAAAGGAGGGTAGTTTCCTAGGGAGGGTATTCCTATACAAGAATTGTTAATTAATATGAAAAAGAGTTTTGACCATTGTACCCGTATAGGGCCTTTGACAGTATTCAAATATAAGTTGAAATGGTTTTATAACACCAATCCCCAAACAATATTTAAATTCTTTATGTTCAAAAGGGTATTAAATTTAGAAAAATAATCAATAGAAGAAGATGCATCAAACATCCGCCGCCGAAGCCCCCAGAATGGAACGGAGAACAGGCGTTAAAATGACATCATGCAATGTATTCTGCAGGCTGTACTAATATCCATGACAGCGACGCTCTTACCGGCCAACAAAAGTGTATGGCACTGTAACAATATTACAATGAAAGAGACAGATAATGAGACCGTCTGTAGAATTTTTCAGAATCTATCTGAATAATGCAGCTTTATGGTAGATTGTCAAATAAAACAAGTTTGTCATCAATCATCTTGACATAACCAACATAGAACTTCACATAAATAACATAAAATTCCAGTAAAAATGGGTTCTAAAACCAATTTTAATAGTGGTAATCTAATACAGAGTTATTACCTATATTCAGCTTTATTAGCCTTAAAATTGCTTGCTTTAAAACCCCTTGCCTCTATCGTGTGTCATCCAGAGAAAGTGCAGCGTGCTAACATAAGTGATTTGAAGAATCTGACTCCTTTTTGGCTGGTAGCCGGTCTGTATATGACAACATCGCCGGACCCTGTAACCGCTCTTACTCTCCTGAGAGCATATGTCGTGGCCAGGATTATTGCTGCCGTTGGCTATGTGACAAGGATACCGACAATGATGAAAGAATTAGCTTTTTTTGTATCATTCACGATAACCACATACATGGCTGCCTGTGTCGTTATGAAGTATAATCACGCTCTGTGAACAATTTATGAAATTCATAAAGTAAAAACTTACTTACCAGCAACGTCGTTTGTGAGTAATTTCAGCGTTTAACTTTGAAAATTACGAATTTTCATATAAAATCCAAACCTTTTTCATGTTTCATCTGTCAAACTTATTGAGGCTTTAAGTATCTAGATAAGAATACTGAAATCATTTGTTTTAAATATATGTATTTTTCTTAATAATATAAAAATTAAAGTGTACAAAAATCTTATACGGAATTTTATTCTTTTTCGACCATAAATTTAGTACAATCTTTAGGTAGTCACAGAGAATCTGGCGTTGAGTGTCCATGGGCGGCGGTAACACGTAACATCAGATGAGCCACTCTGTCCGTTTGCCCCCTGTTCAATAAAAAAAAGATAATAATTTAAGTTGTATGAAAGAGGCTCTCTAACTTATCGCAGTATAGAATTTGAACTTTTGTATTATTATAACAAACAGGTTAGCTAAGCATAAAAATGAGTAACCTCAGTTCACTCTTGCTAGGCTAGGTGTCCCGATCGTATCTGCTGGAATTTCTATGTAGGGTCATAAGATGCTGGCGGAAATTGTGGAAAATTGAACGGTGGTTGGCTAAACAAAGTACGGCGTTCTCGAAACCTATGCTTTTTATATAGTTGTAAATCTTTTCAACAAAAATGGTAATATATAATTTTATATAGGAGTTAAGTAGAAAATGTATATAAATTCGCAGCGTAATTCCTATTTAAAGGTCACTCAGTTGTTAATAATGAAAAGTCCAAAAGACCCTTGACATTAAAGTAAGGAGTTTAATATTACTCAAGTTCGCAAATCTGTTTTGAAGAATGTTTAAATAGGACCTACCTGTTATAAATATTCTAATCGAAATCCTTTTGTTTACTTGTTTTACGAAGATTTTGTTTTGCGTTTTTATTGAAATTAAGAATTTTTTATTAATCATATAAGTTTAATTATTTAACAAAATTAAATGTCATGTTTAATAAAACGGCAACACTTAATACTTATAAAAACATTGTTTTTTTTAATGTCAATCATCAGTTCTGACAGATAAAATTAGTTTATGGAAATATTTTGAAAAGCCAAGACCTAAAATGAATATTTTAAAACTGATAAAATGAATACATTAATGCTGAAGTGATGCGGAATATCACCATATCTTTGGAGGAACCACTCACACAAACATACATGGCGCATGCAGCGTTGCTTGCTGTTAAACTACTGGCCTTGAGCCCCATTGCAGCCTTCACATGGGTTAATAAAGGTCTGTTCCCAAACACTGATATCATTCGAAGAGCATATCTATCAGAGCTAAAGAACTTGGCTCCCTTTTGGATTGTTGGTGCATTGTATGTGACTACTGGGCCATCGGTTCCGCTAGGCAAAACTCTCATTAGAGCATATACTATATCTAGGGTCTGTGTGGTACTTGGATACGCTACAAAACCCATTCCAGCCCTAATTTCCGACCTAGCTCTTATTACGTCATACTTTATTAACTCTTATATGTCTGTGTGTGTTATTTATAAGTACAAAGATTGTTTATATCGGTTTGTTTCATTTAATACTTTTAAACTAGTTTCTGGCTCTGTTCGTTGCCAAAATGTAGGAGTTCATTGGATCGTTCATTCAAGCATAGCAAGTTTAAATAACATTTAATATTCCGATGTTTTTTCTTTAAGATATTTTTTATACTAAAACATATAAAAATTAGTATAGCACCAATAAACGGTTATTAGTTCCCGTTCTGGGGCTGCCGGCATAGTCGAGTTGAATGCGTATCCTCATTTCGACATATCAACGAAACACACAATATATGTCTGATCTATCCTGTGTACCGAGTTTCGAGACTGTACAATATAATTTAGTATTAAGACAGCTAAATGAGTACATATAAGGGACCTTTGCTTACTTTGTCTTGAATTAATAGTGCAAATACAATTACGCATAATTTTCTGTTTAACATGGTGAGAGGTCTTACTTTAATGTGCCGTCTGGATCAATTAAGTGTTGACTCCAAAGTTTAAAGTTTGAACGCAGATTGGGTGAGTTTAATAAAACAGGAGATTTGGCAAATTGGTTCAGCGTCGGCAAAATCGATTGATTAGTTTACTTTTACGGAAGCGTTGGCTCAAGTGAAATGAATTTTCCTATGAACAAGAACAAGAAGTTTATATAAGTGAATTTCCTTTTGCTAATAAATAATACGTATGTAATAATTCGAGATTTCTTCGGGGTTTTCCTAAGACCTTTAAAGTGTGTATTTAGCTTCATCTATTAATGGTTGGTTAATATTGGTCTAATAATACAATTAAAACGTATACACCATCAAAAATATTTGTAGAAGTGGTAGTTATTTTTTATTTTAGCTTTTATAAAAATTGCAAAAACGAAATGTCGCCGGCTCCGGAGAATAAAATGATAAATGCAAAATCACAACTTTACAGGAAAATTAAAAAACCGTTTTAATAAGATTACTTCTATTGGGTCCTAGGTAGGAACTTGGGAGTTAGCTTAAAGAAGCAATTTTTAGTGTTATCTCTATACTAAGTTGAAATTTTGAAAGATTCCACTGAACTTGAGATATTTAGGAAATAAAAGAATAGACTAAATTTAACAATAACATGTGTTGCTAACATGCACTTATCATTTTTTTCTCATTTAAACTTCATTCATACGAAATTGAAATAGCCTGCATGTATTCTACGAATACGAACTCTCCAGCAATGTTGGTAATGTAAATTATCATATTTTGTTATTATAATAATGAATTTACGATATGAGTAAATTAGACGTTTTTTCTGGGTATTTAAATTAAACTACTTAATTAAATCAACTTATTTATTTTGGGACCAACATTTAAAGCCAACAAAGAGGATGACAAAAATAATACTTTTCAAGAAAACAAAACATAAGCAAACAAACATAACAAAGTCACTCTCAAATAAATCAGTCTATAATTAATCTATCTATCTCCATACTCAAATCTTCATAATTAAGTGGCATCTTCGAGTAAACATTCAAAATCACGAAACCTAATATCCAAATAAAATATAAGCGAAATCTAAGTAATTTCTATCCAAAGTATATTATAATTTAAAAAAGTCTTCTTATTAGTACTTAATATTTTAAAAAAAAATTGTTTCATCAGCACAGTGGGGTTGCTCACAAATTAAGAGATCAAGAAACCAGATAGTAGGGTTGTCATTTGATTACAAAGACTTATGAGATCAGAATAGGGACGATTGGAGAGCTGGTGTATACAATTTTTAATTCAGGACTGTAAAATTAGGTGTATTGGAAGCAGTTAGCACTCGTGTTGGGTTCAATTGAGTTAGAATACTCAGCGTCAAAATCATATTTAAAACCGCAAGATGGAGGTTCTGAACTGTTACATTGATTTCCATTATTTTAGACCACTTTATCTTCTTCCCTTTATCATTTTACCCCAGTGTTTGTCCTCGAGTAATTATTTAATGTCGAGAAGTCACTTTGTAACATTTCTTTAATAATATATTTCACGCCATTTACCTTGGCATTGGTAATTATTGCGTACATTTGATCTGGACTATACACAACTTGGTTTTTCAGCTCACGTTCTAAGTAGAATGCATCGAATCGCCCCACTCTGGCCATGACCAGTCTCAAAAAATCTGTGAGTGATATTAATTTGAAGCTTTATGGCAGCAAACATGTACAGAGCGAATATGAATTTTTTTATTCTGCCCTGCGCAACCATCAGAATAAAATGACAAGTTTTTAATGCCTCTCTTTTTTCTGTATTAAGAAATTGCCATAAACAACTACCTATTTCTATTGCTCCTCTTTTTGCAATCTGCGCATGCCAAACGTAGCAATAACCTTTGCGTTGAGTGGCGTCAAATATTGTGAAATTGTAAATAGGATACTTTCTCTTGTAGTGGAATACTCCAACAGCAGATTGAGGTATATTCAACACTTTTTGCAAATCAAATATAGCTATTGTAGTTTGTAATGTTGCAAGATCTTTTTCTTCTTTCTTTATCTGTCGAACTTTTTCTTTATTTCGTGATGTTGATCGTATTTTCTTGCAAGGTTTTTGAGTAGCGTTATAGTTGCGGTAAAGAGCGCATTTAGAGCACTGATCCTTTTTTGGCTTATAGAAAGAATAATTAAATTGGTATTAAAAATTGTCTGATACTGCCGTTTGTAGCCATCGGAAAATCAAAACTTTCTTGTATGAACCAGGTCTTGTATAGGCGATAATTTTAGATATGTTAAGTAGTTCTGAAAGATATTTTTTGTTCGTTTTTTGCGCACATAATGAGCTTCCATTGTGGGAATAAGTTAATGTGATCGACTATGTTTCTTCTGATCATTGCGCATTTGCGCGGTTATTGAGTGTCCTCGTAGATTTGTAATCCTTCGTATTTTATTTTTTTCCAATGCGGTATGAATATCTGATTTGAAATACACAAAGTGCTTGCAAAAAGGTCCTAATACTTGAACTTTCTCTTTCTGTAAATCAAAATAGTATTTGACGGTTGGGTGCGTTATTCTTTTGATCTAACTTGATTCTTTTGACCTTCTCAACTGTCGTGTAACTAACAATAAATTGATTTCCGCTCATGATCTCCTAATCAAACTGCTGCATATGTCTTCTTGGTCAATGTAAATTTTTTCTTCACATTTTTTTGCGCATTTACATCCTCTTGTAATTTTTTTTTTCGTATATTTTTTAGATCTGCATCCCATATAGTTTCTCCCGAGTTCTTCAATTTCTTACTCTTTACTTTGATGTTCTTGTTCACTCGATCGTTTCTTGTAACAATTTCTGCTTATTAGTAGAAAATGATGATGAAACTTCGACTACACTTGCGGAGAAGTTTCAGGCCTTGAGTTTATATCGGACTTTGGCAGAGGTTATGGTAATCACCATCATCTAAGTAGTTGAGTGACTGTCAAATAGAATCTGATTGTTTTCAGGTGTAGAGTTGTGTCCAAACCAACGAGGTCTGTGAAATTCATTTTCGATGGAAGACTGTATATCATTCTCCAGATATGTGAAGAAGAAGATCTTTTGTTGAAATAGGATTCAAACAACGTTTTGTTTTTTTCTGCTATAAATCGTGGTTTGGCAGAACCGTGCGAGTAGTATTGTTTGTTAAAGAGAGGTGGCCCGTCAACTTAGCAGCTTCATATATGAGAAGGTGAGACGAAGTCGATTTGTTTAAACGGAGGAGACATTAGAAACAGTCGAAGGCGTTCTTGTAATATTCTCAATAGCTGTGTTAAAAATAGAGTCTCCGCCAAAACTTGAGGATCCGTAGTCTGTGTTGATCTGGACTTGGTAAACTCTGACACGTCCGGGAGAAGTCAACAGCAATTTCAAATTCGTCATCGTCGGAGTAATGTTTTTCGGCAATCCTGAAATTAATTAACTAAAATGTAAATACTTGTGATGCCCACTAGGACTAAATTACTAGGACTAAATTATTTTCTTTTACTTAACGACAACGAATACGGTTTGAAACCAAAAATCAACTAGGTAGGCGACAGAACAACCTTAATTTTTATTGAAATTCACACTTATTGCATTGTAATAAGTTCTGCCCGGAAGGTTTTATGTATCGGATATCGCCTGTAGACGTAATCAAAATAAAGAAACGGATACTAAAGAAGCAATACTTCAATTTCGTTACTATAAAGATGCGTGCAAAAATATATATAAATAGCAATCAATAAGTATAATATCTTCCAAAAATACGTTCATATGAACAGCTGTCAGTAGGAGTCAAATATTTTTTAGACTGCTTAGGTATGTATTAACCATACGTGCAAAGAAAACTTGTATAATTACTCCAATATTTGTTAGTTAGTAGGGAAGCAGCTGGCCACAAAACAATAAGTAGGTACTTACCTTGGGGACATTTTTCCGGTTCTGGATGAATTATTTCTCCTATATTATCCATAATGGATTTAACCGGCCGACCTCAGTCTCTTCATCTTAAAAACACTGCTAGTCTATTTAATATCACTATAGAATTAACACATTCCATTAATTTCCGATCATTCCAACACAAAAACAAAAACTCGCTTCGCTTAGTGACGTATAAGATCATTCTGATTTAAAAAAGTAAACAAACAATAACCCTTGTCGGCGAACGCGCGGTGTGTGTATCCCTTTCTTAATTAGCTCAATCAACACGGCGGAAAGAAACAAAAAACTTTGTTTTGTAGATCCATGTGTTTGGCTAAATCGCATAGCAACGAGCTCAGTAATTTTGAACTAGAATAAAATGATAAGTGCGTTTGTCATAGACGGGAGGTATAAGAAAAAGAAAAAGTGAATTGTGCGTAGTCACAAAAATATTTTGGCAAAGCAATGTTATCGTATATTGTTAGATCCAAAAAATCGTTGAATAAAATAATATCTTTTTCTAACTTTTTAAATAAACAAAAGAAAAATCTGAAAAAGGGGATATTAGCACCTCAGGATCCTGAATTTGCAATAAACTAAAACTATGATAATAGGGTTATTTTTTGAGCGTGTATATTAACAAAGCATTGCCATGTTAGCCTACCATAGTAAAATATGATAACATTGGTGTGTCTATATGTAAGTATGTGTTTGTGTATGTGCATCTTTGTGTGTGTAACTTAATATATTATTTCGTATA